GTTTTCGTCGACGAAGTGCAGGAAGGAAACGGAAGAAGAGTACGAAGAATTAGTTCGTAGAATTCATTTGGTGACTTCGGAAGAAGGAACTTTGTTTGACATTGATTGGAGAAGTTTAGTTTGTTTTGTCTCTCAATGATGATGGCGAGCAACGTTCTGAAGGCATTCAGAACTGGAGTTGCTAACAAATCTGAGGGAGACATCATGGAACACGTTTTGGTGCTTGAAATGTTTCAACGTTTTTCAAACACTCAAACTTATTTGAACAAACAAACCATGTCTTGATGTAAAGACTTTTTGTGACGACATGTGTTTTTGATCGCTTTTGTGAAGTTGACAGAAAGATGTCAACAGGCGACTCCGCATCTGTTTTGTGTCAAGGAGTGACACGTCAACAAGAACCATAGCGACATGAACAGAGACTTTTCTGTTTCTTGTTTGTGTGCTGTAAAAGTGGCTGAGCTCTGGGATCGATTGACTTGGTTGCGTGGACGGTCTTTTGTTTTGTTTAAGGACGACGTCCTGGACGCTGATCCAAGTAGGTCTAGAGGTTTCGAAGGTAAGTGCACCTTCCGCAGGATGGCAAGCTTCTCCAAACCCCAGCAACTTTGGAAGTCCTCTGCAGTAGTCGAGTGAGCACAGCTGGAGCAGACCGGTTATCCGGTGAATCCAAGGGCTAGTATGGGCATCAGTGCCCGGGGGAGGTAGTCCCCAGGCTTATTCAGGGCACGGAGTGCCGGTGATTCCCTACAAATACTAGCAGCGCCGGCTGTTTAATGGCTCCCAAGGCCGCTACTTCATGGTGGCACCCATATTGTTGACTCTCGTCCATAAATGCAACCCATACTCGAGAGCCATGTGCCGAAGGTGATATCGCATCGTGAGCTCAGGAGGAGTGGACCCACCCGTAGCTGGATAAGGATGCGTTTGCTTCGGGCATGGCATGTCATGCACCTCATGCTGACCTTCATTCATCACGTGCAAGTGACTTAGCTTCGGATGCCAGAGAGCAAACCTACATTTGCAGAAATCGAGACCGATCAGACTCTAAGACGAGCTCTGGTGCATCGCAGACCCATCAAGGAATGATCGTGGCGATTGGGTCATGATGTGGATAAGGCAGATGGACACCAGATTACATTAGAAGCTTGTCAGCCTTTGAGGAATTCAAACACCAGCCACATCCGCTTCAAACTAATGGAGTCCAAATGAGCATCCGTCCAGCATATAGAGGAGTCCAATTCCATGACATTATTTTCTAGGAAAGTCACGAAAGTCCAGCAGCTGCACATGAACCACCTGTCACCAATCCCAGGATCCAGAAGTGTGCCTTCCGATGAGATTCCCACGGGTGACCAAAAAAACAGGGTCACGACTCTCTAAGTGCTTGATTACCAAGTCCCAGAAATGATCAACTTGACCAAGAACCAGAAGTACCCTCCACATCCAGTTCAACTCCAGATAACCAAATCGACAACCTTGAACTTGTTGTGAGATTCCAGTGAAAGACACCTCCGATGAAGGAGAGTTTGTATGCCATGCAGAAGAGTGTTTTTCATCTGCAAGAAGACCAAATGTTTGAGATCGATTGCATGCAAAGGACATCAACAACTGGAGAGAGGAAACTGGACCGAAGAAATGTCATTTTTGGTTTCAGCCGCAAAGAGACAGAGAAGTGAGGTGAAAATTTCCACTTTAGGAGCTCATGATCGAAAACTGTTTGGAGAAGCCAAGTCAAAAGAAGTGGATGGCTGGCTTTCAACTAGCACCGTGTGCCGAATTCTCCGGCACCAAGTGCCCACTGACAACGTCTTGCGTTGCCGTTGGATCCTCAGCTGGAAAGATGCTGAAGAGCCGCGGCCGTCTACAACTGCGCAACCCACGACGCCAAGAGGCCAAAGCGCGACTTGTAGTCCCTGGGTTTGAAGACCCGATGGTAGACTAAATTCCGAGGATTCACCAACAATGTCAAAATTTTCAAGGGTCCTCATCCTCCAACATGCTGCGAGCCTGGTGGGGACATTCATCGTTTTGATATCAAGACTGCTTTCGTTCGAGGAACGGAGCAAAGCAGCAGAATCCTTGGTTTAGAACCTCCGGCCAAGATGCGATCCCAAATGAAACTGAAACCTGGTGAGATTGTTCGACTGTTGAAAGGGGCATATGGCAGGGTTGATGCACCATTTTTATGGTTCCAAGAGTTAAAGCAAAGCCTGGAACGATTGGGGTTTGAACCTTCTCCTTTTGACCCTTGCGTGTTCATATTCAGAGATCAGCAACAGCAAGCCGAAGGTTTAATTGGCATTCATGTAGACGATGGATTATGCTGTGGATCACCACGATTCCACCAAAAGCTTTCCCAACTTGAGGTCAAGTACCCTTTGGAAGTAATGTAAAAGAGCCGAGAATTCACCTTCACCGGACTTCGAATCTCTCAGCAGAAGGGCCAATCTATCTGGGTAAGTCAAGAACAATATGTAAAGGATATCCACCCAATAACTATCCCCAAAGAACGAAGAATGGTTCCTCAGGATGCAGTGATGCAGTAAATGAAGGTGAGAGACAGTCCTTGCGTGCGTTGGTAGGTTCTTTACAGTATGCTGCTATGAACACACGTCCCGACTTGTGCAGTAAACTAGGATGGCTCCAATCTCAGATCAACAAACAAGTGCACGGTTGGCACCTTCATTGAAGCAAATAAAATCCTTCATGAAGCGAAGATGTTTGCCTCAGTCACCGTGAAGATACAACCGATACCACTTGAAGAACACTTGAGATTTGTAGCATTTTCCGATGCATCGTTTGCCTCAGAAAAGGTTCCTGATTCCCACCAAGGGATGCTTATCATGGCCAGTCACAAAGACATCTGTGACAATAAGAACAGTCCAGTGAATCCCATTGTTTGGCATTCAAAGAAAATTCAAAAAGTGGGGGCAGTACACTTTCAGCAGAAGCGATGTCGCTGGCAGGAGCAGTGGACATTTTGTCATGGGTCCGACTGTACTGGACTTGGTTGCGAGATGGGAAATGCAATTGGCAATTGGCCGATGAAACCTTCATGCGTTTGCCTCCAGCGTTTGCAGCGATACCTCCTTCCGAAGAAGAATCTAATCACAATACCACACCTAACCCAGACCTCATGAAACAAATCAACTTCAAAAATAAAGACATCATCACAACCGATTGCAAATCACTTTTTGACCTCATCAATAGACATGCTCCACCGTCATGCCAAGAGTTCTGAACCCAAATTCAAACAAAAACTTATAAAAGAGCACTTGAGCAATGGAATCATGATCAGATGGGTACCATCACAAGCACAACTAGCTGATGCACTCACCAAGTGCATGGATGCCAGTGTTTTGAGAGAATGCATGGAAAGAGGCCCCTATAGTCTCCACGATGAAGCGCAAATCCTTCGTGCCCGCTCAGATTCCCGAGCGAGATTGCAATGGCTCCGAATGAAGTCCAGTGATTCCAAAGGGGATGGAAACAGTATCTCCCATGATGGAAATACCAAGTCGTCCATTCAGTGAGAAGTTTTACGCTGTTTTCTTTTTGTTGTTTGCTGCGTTCAATACATTCAGCAGGGGAAACGAATCATCTTGACAGAATTGCGAGCTGATGCATCTCGAACAAAATAGAAGACTGGGAATCACAAACCTGTGCCTGTTCGAGATGGCCACTTGCACATGCTCTGAAGCCGGGGATGGCTCAGTCGTGCCATAGGTGGGAGGAGGGCGTTTACGCTTGAGCCATCTTCGTGGAAAAACTGCGGCATTTCATCCAGCAGGGCTGGGATTGATCTGTTGGCAGGGACCCAACAATTTGGTTTAGAAGGAACATCATTTTGGATCAGGGATCCTTACAACGGTTGTTGGCTTGCTATCAATCTTTCGAGAACATATGCGTATAAATGTGGTAATCGATCTAAAGGTCCTTGTAAGGAGTTTCAATTGCGAAAACCGTGCGTGCTATGTTGGAAACCTTCGCGGAAGTTTTTTTTTCGAGTTCGCGAAAGTATTTTTTTTCGCGAAAGTTTCGCGAAAGTTGGATATTATAATCATTATTTAAAGGGCTGCCACCCACTGCCGCCCGGGTCCGGCAGGAGAAGGGCACTAGAGAATTCTTTTTGGTTCTGGTTCAGTTCCCTGTGTGGTGGTGCTTGTGGACAATCACACCCTTCATAAGTAGCAACCGAGCCTTTGCCGACTTCGGCTTGTTGAGCAGCTCCATTCGTGACTGCCGAGCACTCGGACGAGCCAAAAAAACCATGAGCATTGACCGCCGGTGCTCCCGGCACCTTTTCACTTCACTTCTTGGCACACGTATGCTCCTTCGTAAACCAGTCTCCATTGCAAGGTTACAACAACCCTGCTAGCTTTCGTACCTTCCCTTTGGCCTCAAGTGTTTTGCACCAAAAAACAATCAGAACCGTTGGTTCCTTTGCCATGGCACAGTGCAGGCACCGCAGAGAGCTTGCCTGGTATTTGTTGGAATTCATGATGTTCAGATCGTGGCAATTTCATCTGCTCCAAGGAACATACAACATGCAACAACTTCATTTACGTTCAACAAGTGAGTCAATTCGGCACAAATGGATGGATTCAAAGGCAACATGGAAAACCGAATATGCCGTCATTCAAATTTGACATGATTGGCTTAGACAATCACAGTTTTGCAAATCAATTCTGTGATCATGGACACAAAACATGATAGTACCAGAGTTTTGCCGTGACATTTGCCATGATGCAAATCGGCGAAGGAGAGGCATTCGGCGATGGGACGAACGAAGTGGAGGCGGGATTATTTGTGAAATGTTTTGATTTTGTATTGTCCAATCTGGATCAGCAACGCTTGGTACATAAATAGGTCATTTTTTCAAAGTGATTAAAACAACTCTGGAATAGTTGAATAGACCCCCTAAATAGAGTAATTCAATCACAACTCTCTGGTTTTGGAATCCAGGGCTGACATTGAACACTTTTTTTTTCTTCTGCAGCCACTGGCTCCTACGATCCTTGCGGCCACAGTTCGTCACACACCGGGCCGTCGTGAAGCATGCCGCCTGCGGGGATGGGTGCGGCTGGACGATATGAGGAGCATCGCGCTGGTCGTGGTAGACGTGGGGTTTCCATCAGGCTTTGTCTGACCCATTTTTGAGCTGAATTCGGTTCGGTCTCAGATGTTGGGAATTGGAATTGTTGTGATTTCTTGCAGGAGTACAGCCAGCCGCTTTCTTGCAAAAAGAATTGCAAATGGAAGCGCAATCATGACCAAAGTGTCAAACAGAGTGGACTTGATAGTTTGTTTGATGTTTTTTGCATTTCAGCAGTCTACACATGCTGAATTTTCAGATTCCGGCCCTAGGCATGTTGCCTTTGGAATGAACAAAACGACTATTTTCCGGACAGACTACATGCATGGTACTACATTGAATATTTGTTTGCACTCATTCTAACGCTATACAACGGCAGATTTCCGCATCTCACACCCACTGTGATGTCTATGAGGAAAGAGATCAAATTTATTGAGGGAGAGTTGAAGGAGACCCTTGCTGTGGAGGGTTTCGTGTTCATCAGAATTGCGGCATTTGGAAAACTTGTAGAGTGATTACTCGTGACATGTGCAGTGGGAGAAAATTTTTGGTGTTTTGCTGACTTTGGCTGGTCTTTGGGGTCCAAATCTGGGTTGCCGGTGCCAGGATTGGTTCTTGCAGCGCCGATTTGCCATGGAGCGCAATATTGCGATGAAGAAGGCACTGCTGTTGTTTTCGGGGTACACGGAGATGGTTTGTAAATGATTCCAATGGGGGATTTAACCAGCAAACATATTGATGAAACCAGGCCCTTGAGGTTGATTTCATGGGATATGACCAAAACAAAAATGACGACTATGTGATATGGTGTCGGAAACTGGGGTCTAGCATATACCACAGAATTAAAATTCGAATTGTATAAACATAAAAGGGAACATTAGATGGTACACAATTGTTTTTTTGGGATTTGTGGGGGACACCGGGGACACCACATGGACAAAGCCATGGTTTATCCAAGTAGTTTGAATCGGATCAGCCACCGGAGTTTGGGGTAGCCTACAAGAAAAAAACTATTGGATTCTCCTGCCACTTTTATCAAAATGAAATACCCCCCATTTTATCAAAATCCTGGTGAGATGTATTCGACCAACAAGCATTGTAGAATCATTTTTTTTGCATTTGTTTTGATAGGGGATTAATTCTGATGGGATGGGATGGGATTTGCTGGCTTTCCATGCCAGCTGAGTCATGATTCCCCTTTTTGACTTTCACATTTTTTGGAATGGGGTGAAGCCAAGGGTGGCAATATGTTGTTCCCAATGGTGGCAGTTCCACAGTTCCCGCACTGTTACGAGGCTTTAGATGAGAATAACTTCAGTGGATTGTCCTGGAGCTCAGGACTGTGCAGGATCAGCTCCATTTTTTTGTTGGTTTCGGTGTGCATGTATGGGTCAAACACATCATATCAACGGACCCATGAAATTGATCATTTTTTGTATGCTGTCATGCAATCTTTTTGGGGTCAAGCATTTTGACCCATACGCACCATACGCATGTGACACCGCTCAGGTCTATGGCCAATCCCAACATTCCCGATGCGCAGAAGGTCCTGTGCTGAATCAGGACCAGGATGCATTGTGACCACATCAAACACCAGCAAAATTCATAACTTTTTGGTAAGGAATCCCAAGAATTGCATGAATCCGGAATACGGTCCCAAAAACTTCGAGCCAAATAGAGACGGAGTTTCACAGCATTGAATATTTTATTGATATTTCTTGTCCGTGGAAAAAGGTAGGACACTCACTGCAACTGAGCCCAGGTGATGTGGTCTGACTTGGTGCAGGGCAAGCCCGAATTGGAGGACTCTTTGAGTTCCAATGCCAAGCAGATGAAAGTGGAACCTTGGGTCACTGCTGTTGGGTCGTTGATGTCCTTGTTCAACATTTCTACACTGAAAAAATGGGTCGAAATCGAAATGGTCTACTTTCCTGGACGTGGGTGCTGATTTCTGAAAATGCCCAGCCAATCTGCGGGGACAGAGCTCTCAGGTTTCGAAGATAGTGACACTTTTTACCTAGTTTTAATGGAAACTAATCTTCCAACCCCTATTTGGCAGGGTCTATGTTAATTTACCAGAGGGTAAATCTTTTTTTCAGCCCACTAAGGACATGTACTCCAAGATCTTCAAGGATTCCACCGTGCCTCGACTACACACCTGGCTGACTTAGCTGCTGTTCCCCACATGTCTTCACCGGTGGATCGATCTGGTTCCAAGGATTTGGAGCATCCGTGCAGAGTCGCTGGCAGCAGCTACCTCCGGTGCCTGCAGGAGAACTTCAAGGACAAGGCCTCAACGCGACTGATGATCCTTGAACCAAACATTTTTTTTGTCACGAAAGCTAGCGTCAGCTAGCTGGAGTCTTCTTGCTTTAGCAAGTATTGGGGGGGCTGCTCAAGGACATCACATGATTTTTCACGCGAAAGGGGGGGACCCCCCCCCTGTTTTTGTTTCGACCTAATACCTACATAGGTACATGCATGAGTATTGAGCACATTTATATGCGCCCTCAAGGCTCAAGAAAGAGGTATATAGAGTAACCCTGTAGACAAGCACGGACCGGCAACAGGCTGAGTAAAACAAGTGCTGTCATTGGGGAAGACGCCTTAGCTGATCTTGAAGTAGACGCTAGGGCCCCTCTTCAAGTGGTAGCGGAGCAGTGATCCCTCATTGAGGGTGAGCTCCAGGAAGAGCCCAAGCAATGGCACGCCATGGCTATGATGATGATGACTTCGACATTGTCGATGCAAATGAATGGAACCAATATGACTCTTATGCAATGAGAAGAGCACCCCAGCATACACAGATTCATATGACGCAACAGATGACCACAAAGGTTGCTCCAGCCTATGATGGGCGAACCAGCTTCTTTGCTTTTGAGGATGCAATTGATGACTGGTGTGACATTACGGAGTTAGAACCAGAAAAACGTGGTCCAGCATTGCGCAACAGACTGGAAGGAGATGCTCAACAATACAAGAGGCTATTGGATAGAGAATTACTCAGGGATCCCTATGAAGGAGTGGCTTATTTCAAAAGATTTCTACGACCTCATTTCATCAAAGGTGCCCAGAACGTGTTCTTATACCGTTTCATGCAGTTCATGAAGTTCAACAGAGGAACCATGGATCTTCAGAAGTGGATGACTAGATTTCAACTCACTGGCAATAGACTTATTGAGTCTTGGATGGATTTACTTCCAGAAGTAACAGTGACTAGTCCTGAAGCAATCCTGTTTGTTCAGCAACGACGTCAAGAACATGAACGAGATCAACAAGAACGAGCTGAAGTAGCAGCAGCCTCAGGAGCAGCTCCTCATGTAGTTGTTCCTTGGTCAGATGAACTGGCACTAGCGGCATTTAGACAATTTCAGGAAGATCGTAGACAAGTACAGCGACAAGCATTCCCACTGGGTGAAAATTTGCTAGCATTGATTTTTGTAAGTCTAGCTGACCTGAGTCAAGATCAGAGAAACACACTCACAAGTATCATGACACATCGTGGACGAACCCTCGATCGATACAGTATTCAAGAACTACGTGACCTGTTTTTGGAAATGTTTTGCACTACCAAAACAGCAGTTGACAATCCATTGATGCAACCCTCTGGCATGGCACAGAGAAGATCTTTCCTCGTACTGGATGAAGGTGAATTAGAAGGAACCGACGGCTATTGGGCCGAAGATGAAGAAGACGGCGCAGAAGGATTCCTGGATGCTTTAGAAGATGTTTTCTGGGTTTATGATGACGCCAACTTCACATGGTATCAGAGAAGGTTCCAAGGCAAATACATCAGACGAGGCAAAGGTAAAGGAAAGAGAAAAGGAAAAGGAAAAGGCAGAGGAGGACGAAGGTTCTTCAGATCAAGGAAAGGAAAAGGCCGAGGAAAAGGAAGAAGGAAAGGCCGTGCTCACATGGTGAGTGAAGAAGATTATGAAGATGAATGGCAAGATGATGAATGGAATGAAAACTATGACGGCTATTGGGCCGATGATCAAACCTGGAATGAAGGCTATTGGGCCTATGATGATTCATACTACATGGATGAGTATGGATACTTCCAGAAGAAAGGAAAAGGAAAAGGAAAAGGAAAGAAAGGCAAGAAAGGCAAGGATGATGATGGAAAAGGAGGAAAGCCAGGAGATGGAAAAGGCAAGTCGAACTATGTTCAACCTCAGACCACATCAGCTCCTGCCATACAGAATCAACAAACTCAACAAGCTCATTATTCTTCTGCAGCTTCAAGCTCTGGTCATGGTTTCTTTTCATTTGGAACACCTGACCCATTACGTGTTGATGTTGCAGAGACAGAGCCAGCACGTGTTGATGTTTTGACATCCACGTATGCAGCACAAGATGAACAACGACGCACTCGTCGTGGAGGACAGAACCAACGTGATGCAAGAGCACAGCAAAACATAAGGGAAAAGAAGAGATTCCCTGTTCTGGTTGGAGAAGTTGATGCACTACGACAAGGTGTACGACAACGTCCAGCTGTAGTGCCCAGGCAAGTTGGTCTTCAAGAAGGTGAGGCCTCATTGAGGCCATTGGCAGAAGGCACATCATTGTTTTCATATGGATGCTCTACAGAGATAGAGGAACCATCACAGCAGAGTGCTTTTTCATTTCATACTGTACAAACTGATCTGGCATGTGAGAATGGACTAGCTTTTCACACAGAGAATTCTGCACCACCAACTGTGTGTATTCTGGATCTTGGATGCACAAGAGCTATGGGCTCTCGACGAGCAGTTGAAGCATTTTGCAGATATGTTGACTCACATCCCAACAGTGGACTCTGGTATGAAATTCAGCCAACAAGTTCAAGATTCTTCTTTGCAAACTCACAACAATCAAAATGTACTGAGAAGCTCGTGATATTCATGTATGATCATGGATGGAACACTCAGTTTACAGAATTCGACATTGTCGAAGAAGGTGATGTCCCATTGTTGATGTCACTTCCACAGATGAGAAACCTTGGATTTCAATTTGAACTTACTCCAGAGAAGGCTTATTTGTCCTGTGCACGTATTGGCATGAGAAAAATGGTTTTGAGGACAGCCATTAGTACTCATCTCATTCTCGACCTACAAGATGTAGCATGGTACATGAGCCAAGTTCATTTCAAAACTCCACAAGTCAAAAGTTTCTATTCACAACACGATCACTTTGAGTACAGTCAGATTGCTGTCAAACAAGATGATCATGAAGGAGAAGCTTTGGTGACTGGTGACTACTGGCAGGTTGATCCACTACGTCGTGAACTCATCAGGCACCACAAGGACAAGAGAATGAACTTACATGAGATGACTCGATCAGAGAAAACTCCAATTCCAAAGATCAACTTCTTGATGAGAGAGAAACCCACATGGAATTCCAGAAGAGCAAGAAGAAGGTTCTTCACAAGGACAACTGGCGCACTGAGAAGAAGAGGTTTTCTGAACAGAGTGAAGAGTTCTGGAAGGGCAAGACCATCTACAAGATCAAGGAGGACTACGTGATCCCAGAGGAGATTGTCAGAAGTGACATTGATCGTGCAAAGCCCTTTCGTGGAAACATTGATGATCTTTTTCACCCTGAGTCAGCCTCTTCAGTGCCATCAGGTGTACAGAAGAAGAAGCCAAGCTCCTTAAAGAAGGAGGAAGGCAAACCGATTTCAAAAGGACCAGGCTCGAAAAAGATTGAGGTAGGTCCACCTGCAGCCAAAAGACACGTAGGTAAGCAGAAACCTCAAGTTGTCGATGACTCTAAATCAGGTTCATCAAGAAAGAAGGTTGTTGTCTCCTATCCCAAGCTTGATGAAGAAGATGAGCTTGACAAGGTAGCTAGGGAATTAGGTTTGGACAAGATTGATTCAGATGAACCTCAAGTCATTGAACCGAAACATTCTGCACCTGCGCGCAATCGTGGTAAGCAAGATTCAGAAAGTCAAGTTGAGAAACTAGGTAGTGATGCTCTTGAGCCTAGGCGAGTTTCGATTCCACTGCCTGGTAGTGAAGTGCAAGCCATGACACCAGCATACAGAAAGATGCTGGAAACTGGAGGATAGTGTGGAACTTTACAAGCTTCATGTCAAACACTATCACATGTCTCCTACTCAATTCAGACGAAGGACTTCCATGTTAGGACTTCCTGACTCTGTCTATCAGAAGTATGAGGAGATGTACAACAAGTGTCGTGTGTGTAGTACTTCCATTGCACCACCGCCGCGAGCCAGAATTTCAGGCATACGATCCACCAACTTTGGAGATGTTATCTTTGTTGATCATGCTGAAATTCAGTTGAGGAAGAACAAGTACATGGTGTTGCTTGTTCTTGATGGTGCAACCAACCTACTTTGGGCTACGGCACAAAACTCACTGAACAACAAGGAGACCATTCAGGCTCTAAGGTTGTGGACTGATGAACATAATTGTATGCCGAAAGCCATCGTAGGTGATGAAGCATTCTTTCAAGAAGACTTTCTGACTTATTACCGAACACATGGTATCAAGGAATGCCCCTGTGGTTCAAGAACCCCATGGCCTAACAGAGCTGAATCAGCTGTCAGACTTTTCAAAAGACAATGGCAAATCATGTCCAAGAACCTTGAAGATGATAGGTTCAAAGGAATCACCATCAGAGAAGCTGTGAAGCGTACTGTTTGGGCCAGAAACACTCAACTCACTGTTAGTGGTTATTCTCCTTTGGAAATTGCCACTGGTAGAAGACCACCAGATCTTCTGGATATTGAGACTTCTGATCCTGCTCAACTCAGTGTTGATCCTTTACCTGAAGACAGAACACAACTCGAGTTGCAAAGGTTAGCACTGAGGGCACATCAGGAAGCCAGACAAGCTGCTGACCTCAGACATGACATGGCCAAACGAACAATGCCATCAGATGGACCTTACAAACCAGGTGACAAGGTTTTCGTTTGGAGTTCCCCTGTCAATGCTAATGCTATTGCTTCAAAGGCATGGAAGAAAGAAAGATGGATCAGAGGTACTGTTATCTCTCAAGAAGGTGCTATGGTCAATGTTCATGTTGACAACGCAGTCATGCGTGTTAATCAATCGAAGGTGAGACGTGACCATGATGAATGGCATGATGTTGCTGTTCCTGGACTTGACACATCAGAACCTGTTCCACTTGCAGTTGAAGATGAAGATGACTATGAACCAGATATCGCTGAATATGCTGAAGCATACTTAGGTGAACAAGCTCACTGGTTTTGTCAAACTGGCAAGTGTGATATTGTGGAGCTCTTCAGTAGCAACACTGGTCTTAGTTGGCACATGGCACGATTGAACATGAAGGTTGGTGA